TCAAATAGTATACGGAGAATTTAAATTTTCTATTTGTGTTGACTTTATACTATTATATCAAATTTTCAATTTTTGTTTCAGATTTTATTGCATCATGGAAAAAATAATGTGGTAGTTGCGGCATCGTTGCATAATCAGAGTTATCTTGAAGAAAGATGATTCGAGAATCAGATTACTAGTATAATTAAGGGCAGTTAAACGCTATACTACTCTGCTTCCGTAACTCGAGAAAAACTCAATCCATGATTTAAACTTGATTTGCGACAAAAATTTGTATCCCTTTCCGCCTCGTCAGCTTTCAGCTTCATCAAGGATATGATTAGTCAGAAAGATTTATTTTTTGCAATATATATTTGAGTCACAAAAGAATTTATAGTAATTTTATTCTTTGCAATTATAACACGTTATAAATAATTATAAATGTTGTTGCAACAATATTCATATTTACAGAATATTTATCAACAATAGTGTACATGTTGAACCATCGTAAATCGATCACTGCGGTGAAGAAAACAGTCGACGACGATCAGAATCAGCGATCGCGTCATAACGGCCCGAAGCGATCTTTACGCGAGTAATCGCACCGATCGTAGTAAATTTCCGTCACGGCGGAAGTTATGCGACTCGTATATGGTCCGTGAAGAATCGAGATCGGTGTAGGCAGAGAGAACGTGTGCTCATGTATCATGACTACACGGCCGCTAGAGCGACATTGATTCGTTACACGAACGATTAGTTCACCTCCGTGTGGGCGTCTAAACGATATTCAAAAATGTTCATTGCACAGAATCATCGATATAATAATGGACAGAATTGATTTGGTTCCTTACGGAAAGTACCACGAAATCCAAGAAATCTTATTGATAAATCAATAACACCCGATATTATGTTAATATAACAATTTATTAATAAGTCTTTTTCAATTATTATAGAAAAAAAGTGTAACATGTAATTAAGCCACTTGCGCGATCGTCTTTCTCGCTCTCACTGCCGACTGTCGCGTCGCGTCGATCTACTCTTTCGGCTATTTTCGGCTATTTTCGGATTCTCTGGGCGATCGTATCCCGATTCCTGACGGAATCTAACGAAGGACTTTGTCAGTTGAAATTAGTCTAATAAAGTATCAATACAAGTAACCAGTGTAAGCAATTTTCTCAATCTTATCTTTATCTTGCATTTTATAAAACGAATTTATGTCCATTTTACATATAAAATATCATAAGATATCGTAAATGAAGATCTGAAAAGAATTAAAAATTGTATAACAACATATCAGAAAAGTAAAATTATTAATGATATTGTTATAACTCTAATACAAAATCTGAATATGCAATCTAAGTTTATATAGTGGATGATTTTTGGACAAAACAAATAGAAATTAATTGAAACTTCTTATATTTACATTATAACTTAATTTTAAACTAAATAAAGCAAAATTAGAGAAGAAAATTATATTTATAAAATCTATAATATAATTTTACTTTGCCTCTTAAAGCATTAAAAGAGAAGATTGATTCAAGTTCCAGAGAAAGTATAAGTAATTATTCACGGGGTGAAAATCTTTCATTTATGAGCAGCTGATCGATCATCACAATGACCGGAGAAAATCACGTTAAAGTGACAGGTAGAAAGGGAAGACCGTGATTAAACAGAAAACGGTGAAATGGATGAAAACTTGACGGCATGTTTTCAGTAATTTAACAAACTCTCCACTCGTTTCATTATAATACTAATATAACGATGTTAATAGCGATGTTCACAGATCTCTCTCTCGAACCAAGAAACTCTTTTACATCACTTTTCACGGATAGAAAACTTTATTTCGAATCACTGACTCGAAAATCGAACATAAGATGGTTAATCTTTAATCCAAAGAATTTTCTATACAAACTTGTCTCGAAGCATATAAAAATTTTTTGACAAAGTTAAAAAATTGAATAATTCACTTGCAATATGAATTTTTTATTTATAGATAGTTTTTATTTTAATTCAGTTATTATTTTAATATCCTAATATTTTGATTATAAATAAATCATAGTATTGAAATTATAAAGACACGTGTATATACATCTATTACTATTTCACATATATTCAAATATATTATATTTATACATTACATATATTTAATTCTCACATATTAAATGTATCTCCATTTTAATTCGTGTAATTTTTTTAAAATTATATCGATTGATTCGAGATTTTTAAAAACAAAAATAAGTTAAAGTAATATTTCTGTTAATAAAGATACATTGATACACGTGTTCTTAAATGCACAAAATAAAGACATGTTTGAAGGATCTCTCATTGGTCCTTGCATGTGACCAATCCGCGAGTTCCAACTTTCTCTCGATCGATTGCCAGTAGCGTATCCGAATTACTAAATTACTTAATAGACCACGGCCAATCTCGAGAGACGGAACAATTCGGAACGAAACAATGAGATCTCTCCTCTTCTTCCATCTATTGCTGAGAGAGAGAGACCTTGAACGGAAAGTTGGCTGAGGAATTACGTTGCGATACAATATACACATGGTACAATAGTTTCTATTTTAACTTGTGAATTTTTAATCAAATTTTTGCTTTTTTAGAATATATTGTTACCAATTCTTGGAAATAGAACTTTATAATGATTTTTAAGTGAAAAATGTTGAAGAATGCGAAATAAATTATTGAACGATCCTTTTGATCAAAGGATTTGATCCTTTATTATTTTAACTTGCACACATTTTTAATGATGGATATGATATCAACTTTTCTTATGATTTTCAAAAAAATTTTTTATTTGAAAATTCAGTATGTATATTTATATAATTATATAATATGTGTCAGAATTATTCGAACTAGTATAGGATTTTCGAAAAGAATCGAATCTTAAAACCACATATATTATATATTTATTATCAAATGTGAAAAACAGGAAAAATAATAAAAAAAGTTTCAAAATATAAACAGATATAAACATATCGATATCAATTTTTTCCAAAAGATGCTAACGCATATAATAAAAGCAATTATTTAACGTGCAAATAAAATATTTTAAAATATAACGTTTATTCATAATAAGAAATATTTTTTTCATAATGGAGGAAAATATAGTACAGAATATTTTCCTTCATAATATATAAATATTTAAATTATTAAATTATTCTGTATTTATTTCATATCACATTAAGCATATTTTATATTCATATTATACTATTTTACATTTCAAAAATTACTACATTATAGTATTTTTGACAAATTTCTCATTGCATTTGATCAAAAACTTTGCTGGAACTAATGTTCTCTGTATCCGAATGGCAAAATAATGTTTTTCCATAACAATTTTCGCAATAATTACAACAATTAACGAATTTATATTAATTATTTATGAAATTTATTTACAAACAACACAATATTCTTACGAAGAGCAGAGAACATATCCATTCTGCTCTGTGTCCATGACTTCGTTAAATCAATATTTTGGCATATCAATGGTAACTGATATTTCCTATAAATTTATATACATCTATAGGGGAACAGAGATCGTCGATCCCTTTCGAAAACTATCTCGTTAATCGACCTACACTGTGTCGATTGGTCCATGGAAATCGTAACGCGCCGGATGTGGGCACGAGAATGCGCGTGCCACGGATTTTCTGTCTATGTACATCTATGGTCGTTGTACGGAAGGTTTCGCAACGAGCCGTTTCACAGAACACGGGCTGGAAAACGCGTGCCAGTGTCGTAAGGTGTGCCAGAGAAACCAGCTGTGTACACGGATGCCATAAAACGACCACGAGATCGTCTAAGGATCTTGTACCCGATGATGGTTATAAATTATATCTATCCTGTCGACCTTTCTCTTTTCTCATCGATTATTTAATTTCCGGCAGCTCGCTGAATTTGCACTTGCACATCGATCAAATATATTAAAATAGTAAAAGAATTGAAATTACTTTTTTTTTTAATATTATTTTTTAATTTTAAATATTAATTCGAAATTAATGAATATAAATAATAATATAAAGTAAATATAAATGTATATATAAAGTGAGAAAAGATTCGAGAATAATATTTTTAAAATATCCAACGAAGGTTGGATTCTTGATTCTTATTTTCGCATGTAGCTTGACTCGAGCTCCGAGTTTGTTTACATTTTTTGCTGAACGTAGAAAAGGATAGTGAACGAAAGAGAAAGAAAATCGAAAGTTGAAGTAATGAAAAAAAACCGTAAGACAACCCTAATGCAAAGTTAAAATTTTGTTATTTTTGTTTCTTTTTTTTTTTTTTTTTCATTAAATTTTTACGATTTGTAAGATTTTTCTGATTAAAATAAAACCAATACGATATAATTTGGATTGTATTTAATTATTTAATTATTTCAGATTATTGTTATTAATTATTAATTAAAGATGTAAATATGACATTATATCATGTTTTCAATTTAATCAAAAAAAAAAAACAAAAATAAAAAATATTTTGATTAAAATCTTTTATTTTGTAATATTTAACGAGACATTCTATTAAATTTTTGAATTCTATGAAAAACACAATGATGATTCCACTTGATACATATAATATTTGATAGAAAGAATATGATTGTTGATATTGATCTGAAATTAGAAATTCTTAAATGATGTATTTTATGTACCATGTATACAAGTTGCATTGTATATATAATTTGAATAATGTATTTTATGAAATTTCAATAAATTTAAAAAATGTCAATATCATAAAATTACTATTGTCAAAAACCAATTAAAGATATTATTATTATTTTTTTTTAATCGTATAATGTACAAAAGATAGGAACAAGATACAATTGAGAAGATCAATTTTAATATTAAAATTTAATCAATTAATATAAATAATATACTAAATAAATTAAACTTTTCAAATTTTAATCTAATTAAAATCTTTATATAAGTTAATTGATAAAAAATATTAAAAAATATTAAATTCTTATACATATATGATACCTTGCTACACAAATTTTTGAATTTTATTTTCAGCCGGTACACATTTATTAGTACAAAAGATTGAGAATCGCTGACCTAAGCCGATTTAGAGCACAATTTAACACAAATGCGATCGTTCCTTTCCATCGAAATGCAAATAAGGATTGCGCTTGTCGATGATTGATCGCTCGATGACCGGATATTGCGCGGAAAGTCTCTTATCTTCGTCGTTCGCGATTAACAATCGAATAAACCTGCGGTTCTTGTGGAACCGGTTGGCGACGCTTTTAGCGATGATACAGTCGACGTCCTTGCGCGAGAAGCACCGTCGCGTTAATGTTAACCGAGTTTTTGCGCGTTTCCTCCTTACTTTTTATCGTCTCGGCCATCTCTCGTAGCAAGACCCTTTTCGTCCGAGATACATATATTTCTACTGGCTTGTATTTCGTAAATATCGAACGAAAGGGAAACCTAGGGTAGAAAGTAATGCCGTTAATTTTTCGATGACGTCGAGGTATATAATAATAAGGAACAATGGCAACAGTGCATCAATATATCGATGTAAATACATATATTAGATCGATATATCGTAACTATCGATAATTTTTCGATTATAATCTAACTCTTATCTGAAGTTACATCCAATAAATAATTAAATACGATATAATTTAACTTTTTTGTAATGTTTTTAATAAATAAATAAATGTTAAGTTATTTTAAAATAGAATATAATGAAATCGAAACAACGAGTGTACATGTATAATTGAGGCAATTTCGGATTTATTAAATTTAACGATCTCACGAATTCCATGGCTCATCCAAAATAATTTTAATATTAATTAATATTTTTAATATCATATAATATATAATTGTTTATCGGATAAAGCAGAATAAAAATAATTGTTAAATTTTAATTGATTGATATTACAAAATGTATCGATCAATGAGCATTGCACAAAAATTTGATTATAGATAAAATTATCGATAATATCGGAATACTATTCAATATCGTATTATAACGTTTATTTATTCCGAAACGTGTCGTTAAGTATCTAAAGAATATAGATTGCGTTAAAGTCCATTGCAAAATGCGGCATTGCGCGCTCCGCGCAAGGACGAACGGATAAACAACTCGTTCGTGCCCTATGTGTGTATGTAAACGATAATCGGTTCTCCTTAAGGCGTTTCTTAAGAGACACGAACGTGTATTCCGCTCGTTCGATATATTCGCGTCTCTACTTTATCCTCCTTCCACGAAAACATGATATAGCATGCTGACCACGTTCCAAGCTTATAAACGCCAGCTCGTTCATCCGAAAATATATATACATATATATATGTTCGGTTGGCAAGGAAATCAGGTCCAAGTAATCGATAGCCGATCAAAAATCGAGAAATTGTCAATAGAGAAAAAAAGGAGAAAATGATACAGGCTATTCTTGGCAACCAGGATATTGTGAATTCAACTGAGCGAAAAAGAAGATATATACGAAGAGCGTGAAAGATGGAGGATTGATAAGTTTTATTCGACAATTTATTCTATTGGACACGCTCATTTCTAAGTGATAACAAATGTTGTATATTAGGAATTGCGACCATCTGTGTTAAATTATCGATAATATTAAACGAAACTTTTGTTATTCAAAGTTGTCAGAGGTTTAACGATACTTTATTGAATTTTCGAAATGTTTTAAACATGATATTTGAGAATATCAACATGAATAAAAGCGATCTACGTAAACTTAATAAAAATCATTTTTATTCGTTAACAATATCTTAACAATGTATTATCGATATACCGACATTGTTAAAATCAATGAAATGAATGAAATTGAAAAAAGATGTCGATAATCTTCAAATTACTTCTTCGAATAATTGATTTTAACATTTCTCCTAAAATGAAAGATTTCAAAATTTATAATTGGACACGATTCACAATAATATCATTGTTGCTGATCATTAATCAGAGATTTTTTTAGAAATTGACGCAATGTTATAATATAATGAAATATAATAAAAAGAGGAAATATAAGTTGAAATTAATTTTCAAAAATTTTTTGTAACAAACCGAATTACCATAGCGATGTAATTGCTCTTGCTCTCACTTGTTCGATTTCAAACACAATTTCGATTTATTCTATTACATTCTATTATGGATATTTTTATTTAAATTAATATAATAATTTTATTTTTTACATGACTATCTCTTTATATACTTTAATTTATATTTTAATTATTTAAATTTTATATATAAATAAAAAATATTATATATACGCATATTACATTACATGTATTTTTATTCACAATGTATAAATGATGTTAAATATACTAGAACCTACTAAGTTAAAAAAATTACTTTTATCACTAATACATCACATAATGTTAACCAATTTACGAATCATCGAATTATTATGGAAATTTCCTGTCCTCAGTTTTTTCCTTGTTCTCAACGTAAATATAATACAAATATATTATGTGGTCAAATTATTCTTGCGGATACAATAGTGGCTCGATAATAAACGCAACAGCATCAGGAAACAATCGAACGTCTTTTTTATTTCACTCGGAATGATTGTTTCGTTTTCTCGTTAAGAAGTGAACGAAGTAAAAATGCGATAACGTCTACAATTCCCAGAACTTCTTATTTCCCTTGTTAGTAAACGCAACGTGGTCCCAATATGAGTCTGTTATTAAAGTACTATTGTAGTTTAAATTTTATGATCATACACCATTTATAGTTGGCGTGCAGCGATAATTTAGTCGTTTCAAGCGAAACAATATGTCTCACGATCTTTTGAAAGAGCAATAAATTAATGTCAAATTAAAAAAGCGTTTCAAAAATTAAAATATCTTCGAAATATATATATATATTAATTTGATATCGATTTGTCACTTTTTTTAAAGAGATCGTAAAATATTCTATTTTATTATACATACAGAGGCACTATTACATATGCTTGTGGTTAGTCTTCAATCAAGAGTTCGTATCAAATAAATAGTACAACTAAATAACCGCGAAAAAATGAAACGTCAACTTCCCGAAAAATAAAAAAAAATAATTCTTACGCGATCCAGCATTCTTTTCCACAGAGTTTCCTCGAAACAAACGAAACGTTAATCTAGAAGGGAGTCCATCGCAAGACGCGGGAGCAATGGCGAGTGACGAACTGACGAGAAAAAAGAAAAAGACAAACATGCGTACGAGACGTAATTTGCGAGACTAACAGCGAGCGTCACCCTGAAGACGGCAATAGTTGCTGCATCGCGATACACTGATGACGTAATCTACGACCAAGGTCTCTCTCATATAATACGAAGCCTTACGTAACATCAACAGGGTTCGTCGCGATTCACTGAATGAAAAGAGCCGACATACTCGCGATCTCGATCTTATATACATATACGATCGTCCACGCGCCACGCGTACTTTTTCAATGGTAAAGCCGATCCTTATCGACGGAGAAACGATGATGCCCGAAAACGAACGAAAATGTCCGAAGTTGTAGAAAGACAGGGAATAATCGAAATGGATAAAAATGAAAAGTTATATTAGAAAGCTGATATATTTGAATGATATTTTATTTAATAAAATGAATACCATTTATTATTTACATTCGAATTCGATATAAAATATTAGTATAAGCATAATGGAACATGATTATGTTTTATTTCTCTTGTTCATTTATTTCTTAGACATTGAAGATAAATTGAGTTTTTTATATGTTGTATCAAACATTATTTATTTGAAATACTATTACTATTATTCGAAATATCGTTTTTCATGAAAAATAAATACTACTTCAAGGAAAAAGTATTCTATTATGAAATCGAAAATTGAAAATTTAAAAAATTTACTTTCCGTCAATTCCGCTTAAAAGTTAAGTTATTTGCATAAAGTTCGTTAATCCTATATTTTACATTGTAAATTGCTTCGAATTCTCTTTTGTTTTCGAAATAATGAGATATATTTTTGTTGTGAAGAAATGCAAATTTTAGTTTCGCTCGAGTACTTAATCGTAAAATGCAAATCCATTTGTTCTATCAAGTTGAAGATTATACTTTTACAAAAAGAAAAAGAATATATGAAAATATACAAGATGTAGTCACACTTAAATTTTTTTTCAACGAATGGAAAACTCAAGTCGAATAAATAAGAAGAAATCGTTTTCTACGATGACGTGTGATTCGTCGAGTACAAGTCGTGGCAGGGATAATGCTTGTATATACGCAAAACATTTTTCGAAGGACGCAACTAATCTCGCTTTAACGATAAATATTTAGTTTTAAGCAAAAACCAATTATTATTTTGATAATTTACTGCTTTGTTACCTCGTGTCATGAATATAAATTTATTTATTAATTAAATAATATAATAAATAATTTATTGAAAAAGACTAATACATTCTTATTATTCTTATAAACATAACCTAAAATCTTCGAACAGATAAATGATTTTTCTTTTTAAATTAATTATTGCAATACTGTTTGCAGAAAATACTGTTTCTTAGAATTAATAAATATTTATATCTCTTTAAGATTATTTATTATAAATTTCTATTATAGAAAAGAAAAAATGAAGAAAGATTTTGAAGGCTAAAATTTTACATTTACTATTATTCTTTTAATTGTTAATTTTTATTTGAAGAAAATAAAGATAGGATGATTTCGACGATAATTGATTTTCAAATAACATGAAAAATAAGAATAATAATTTATTGCACGATCCATGAAAAATTTTATTATACAAAACAGAGAAAACATTATGTGTATAAAATATGATGATTCTAATTTATTTCTTTTTAAGAAATTTGAATATAATCGAATATCCATATTGTTAACTATATAATAAAAATTCTATAACTATTCATAAAATCGAATCAACTTATAAAACAATGGAATCGAAATTTAATCTGGATATGGCTCGATCAATGCTCGGTGTTCTCTTTTCAGCTCATTGAACGAAAAAGAAAGAGAATCGAGAGATAAAATAAACGTGTCATACGTGTTTCGTGTCTAGGGGAGTTTCCCTAATGATAGAGATGAATGTGACTTGCTCTATAGTAGATCATCAGTTATTCAGCTTTTATTATACATTATGATGTTGATACATTCGTGAAACATCTTTTTTAATTAATTATAATTTATTAACGAACATCTTATTTATTTTCACCTCTAAACAAATATAAAAATTGATAGATAGAAATATTGATTGAGATTTATTTTTTAAGTCATAAGCAATTGAAGTTTGCTTTCCTCTCTATCTCACTTTATCGATTAATACAAATTCCAATTACTTATTACAATTAATTTAATGAATAAATCTGAATCGATATTTTTATCGTACATCGATTCTTCAAAAATATATTAAAATGTATATATATATTGTTTCACAGGATTTAATTGTATTTTTAAGCTATTGTAATTTTTTTAAATCGTGTGGATAATGGATTTTTCTCATATGATAAATAAATGAATATTGAATAAATCATTATTCCAATAAAACGAAAATACAAAAAATACATTAGCACTTAAATGTTATTCAAAATGAATGAAAATTGCAAATGCAAAATTATTGATAAAAATCCTCGATACCAGAACAAAGATTGTGGTAAATAATTTTCAAAAATATCTGGTATTTAGCATGTTTACATGGAGAAATAGACGGTGAAGGCTGATTTCAAGAATAAAGTTATTCGCGATAAATATTTATCGTTGTTTTAAATAATGAAATGGAAGGTTAATTAATTTGCTACGCGCGTACCGAACTTCCATGAGATTGCGATTCAAGTAATCTTCAAGTCGGATTGAAATGTATTTCAAGAGTGTGTCAACACAATATTATTTTTTTTAGTAAATATACATAGAATGAATCAAATATTATTAGAATTAATATTTTAAAAATCAATTATTTACTTTTTTCAAGATATTTTAGACTTAGTTTTTTTTTTTTTTTACTTTAAAAATAATCACTAGTTGTTAAAAATAGAAAATATAGTATCAAATCATAAAAAAATATATTATCAATATTCTGAACTATTCTTTTCATGCATATGATCACTGGTCAAATATAATATAATATAAATAAATAAATAAATATATTTTATTAATTTCCATTATTTTAAAATACGTTTTCAACATTCTGATATATACATATATAGGATATATATTTACGTATATACAATACATATATTAAATATTATATATTTTTTAAGAGTTTTATTTAAATTAGAATTTGATATATTAAATTATGTATGAAATTAAGATTAAATTGAGCTTAGAATCTTAAAGAACATTAGTTCTATCTATTCAAATTCTTGGATTTGCGAAGCATATATTCAAAGAGCTTAAAAAAAAAAAAAAACGTTCAAACACCAACAAAATATGTATATATACCGACTGAAACGCATGCTCGATCGGTATCGGTCGACTTTTCTGAGCCAAGAATAATATTCTAACCGATATATCTGTCGAATGAGCGCGATGAACGCGATATCCTCTCAGTGAAGAAGATTGTTCTCAAAAAAAGAATCGGGAAAAGGAACAATCTATGGGAAAAGATCTGGCAGATAAAGCGTTCACACTTATACGTGGTGTCTTACGAACGAGGAACTGCCGTCTCGGATATTCCACTCCCGCGGCGGAACCTATCATCGAGTTATTTCACCAAAGGTGGCGCGCTTGTTAATGACCTTCTTTCCGCAACTCGATTGGGCCTCGTTTGTTCGAGAAGGAACAGATATTGACGGTACACATTTGGACTGCTATGCTCGCCGCTAATATAAATTTCGCAATGGGAATAAATGTCTAGGCCTATTTTTATCCTATTTCATCGAATGGAAAGTTGTTCTCTGATGTAACAATGCTGAATCGAAAGGTGATAATGGCCGTTTCGAATCGGAAGAATTTAGATGGATGTATGGAAGAGAATAGGCTTCCGGGATTGTTATTACGTAGCGGGAACACTAACACGGGATTGTTGTTTGCTCGTTAACAACACGTAGAAAAGAGGATAAATATATGAGATATTTTCTTTTTATTTTTTTATTTACGGAGGATTTATTTTATGGAACAGTTATAAACTAAGATTAAACATTTGCTTAAATTTGATTATAGTTCGATGATGTATCCGAATTAATTCGTTCTAAAATCTCATTTATTATAATAACATTTATTTGTTACAATGTATTTTGGTTATATATTATATACGTATTATTAAAAATATAATTCGTTTCGTTTTATAATTTTAATAACTATATTATGTAAATTCTATTCTACAATAAAATCGTAATAAGCTTGATAAGCATTTCTTATTCTTAACATGTTTTTTTTTGAACGAACGAATTGAATCGTTTTATTATTTATTATCTTATTTATTATTTCATAAATTTTGTAACTATATTAACTATATTTATATATATCATTGTACAAGAACTTACATTTTTTTTTTTACTTCGTTAATTTTTAAAAAATTACACAAAATGAATCAAAATAAATTCTACAAAAAATTTCACAAAAAAATATAAACAAGTCATTCGGAAAGATCGTGATAATTTTTATTTTATTTACCAATTCGGTTAAACAGGATAAATTTCCTTTTATATTAATATTTCTGCAATTATACGTATTATACATATTATAATCGAGAAAATGATCACGATTATTTTACGTAATATCAAAACAATCTGCCACCGATTCGGAAGCCAGGTGTAAAGAATTGAAAACAAAGCCAAAGCAGACAACACGGAAAAGGTTGCGAGTCACAGAGGGGTTCGATGTTGCATGCACACACGCGTTGCCATAGCAGTTCGATCTAACGGGCTATTACGAGTTTCGTGCAAGACCGTTTTTCCCCTCGCATGTCTCGTTCTCGTCGCGTCGCGGCGTGTAAGCCACACCCTGGTACAGTTATACCACATCGGCGAAGAATAAGAATAAGCTTGCAAGAACGCATGTCTAAGACGGCCTGAAAAGGTGCACTAAGGTGCGCAGCAAACAAGATTGGTTAAACGAACACCAGACGCGGAAATTTACGCGTGCTTCGAAGATAACCAGTTCGGTTAGTTATCTCGATGTACCGATCGATTTATTTCGACTACTACCAATCAGAACAAGACAGATTGCGTTGCAACTTAATACGATCTATGTAACATTGGCTTTTTTTTTCCTCTCTCCTAACCGTTCCAAAGTTTTCATATCACGGGTAATTACTATGTTAATATTTGTGATATCATCTAACACAAGTGATTGATTGAATAATATACGCTTGCATCTCCGTCGAAACGAGTACATTACATCGCTATTAATTGGGTTGGGAACTAATTATAATTATCTAATTATGTTTTAAATTGCCAACAAAAGAATCTGGAACTGGACATTTTACTTATTCATGATCGTTTCTCTGTTGAGCAAGGATAGTAAATTGTCATCATTTATAATTCCAACTTGCCATTATTACGAGGGTATAACTGTATCCGAGAAGAGCTCGAATATAACGAATACGTATCGTAACCGAAAGTTCCCGAACGATGCAAGCGCGTTTCACGATCTCGCCCGATCTCGTCC